AGAAAGAAAGAGAGAGAGAGAAAGAGAGAGAGAGAAAGAGAGAGAGAGAGAGAGAGAGAGAGAGAGAGAGAGAGATGTAATTAATTAATTAAATTTTAAAACAAACACGACTTTCCAAACATTAAATTAACAGGCATTTCATCACAATAATTGTATATATTTACAAATACTTGCACTCATAGAAAACAATATAAAGTAACCTTCAATTTGCAACTCACCCATGTACAAATACTACACAAGTACTGTATAAAAAGTTAAATAAAAGTTATGCAATGCATTAGAAACCAGATTTTGGTGCACAACACAGCTATGCATTGAACACTGATTGCACGCAAACACTGCAATCCATAGACTCAATGCTAAACACCAAAACCCATTCAAAACAGGCGCTCACAGTGAACACCACCTCTGAGCCAATGGGCGCACACTTCAGGCCCACTGCAGCCAATGAGCGGTGAAAGCGGTTTAAGTTTTATTGTTTTTGTATTGCATTCAACGATACATGCATTCAATGCACACAACGTTTGTGTCGACACAACAACTCCTGAGGAGATAACTGCAGACAAACAGCTGTCACGCGTCGACAGTCACCGCAAACCACACACACATCACCCATACCTCAAGCCATACCTCGCGAGCACGTCGTCAGCGATGTCTGAATCGGTGGATCTGCGCGAAGAGCTGCCATACCGTGTGGAGTACGCCAAGAGTGGTCGCGCCTCCTGTAAGTCATGTAAGGATCTGATCGCCAAAGACGCCATCCGTATGGCAGTTATGGTTCAGTCGCCCTTCTTCGACGGCCTGCAACCCAATTGGCATCACTTCGAGTGCTTTTTCGAGAGGTGGCGCCCGCGGGTCGAGGAGATCGCGCACTACGCGAACCTCAAGTACGACGACCAGAAGCGGGTCCAGAAGGCCATCGACGAGGCCTCGGGTGTCGGCACGACTGCCGGCGCCGCCAAGTCTTCGGCCAAAACCAATGGCACGAAAGGCAAGCGTAAGAAAGGCGCCGACCCTGTGGTGGACCCGTCGACGGCCGCCACGCGTCTCACGGAGTTTACCGTCGAGTACGCGAAGTCCAACCGATCCAAGTGTCGGTTGTGTGAGAATACGATCGTGAAGGACACCATCAGGATCTCCAAACTGGACAGAGAGTCGGCCGACGCCAAGAGGTACGGACCCCTTTCGCGATGGTTTCATCCCGAGTGCTTCGTGAGCGCCAGGGAATCGCTCGCGTATTACGCCAGCGCTCAGTCGCTGCCATTCTTTGATAAGCTCTCGGATGAGGACCGCAAAGAGCTCGTGAAGAAGATACCGACAATCCCTCCGCCGGTTGGCGACGCTGTCGACGGCAGCGGCGGAGACGTAACCAATGGGTCGCCGCCGAAGAAGCCGAAGATAAGCAAAGCCGACGACAAGAAGCTTAAGAAACAGTCGGATCTGCTCTTCAAGTACAGGGAGTTCGTGGAAACGATGCGCAAACCCGATGTGATTGAGCTCATGGAGCACAACAAGATAGAGGTGCCCGAGGGGTCGGCCAAGTTTGACCGGTTGGCCGACGCCATGGCCTTTGGATCGTTGAACAAGTGCCCGGAGTGTAAGAAGGGTCAGCTGGTGTTCCGCATCAGTGGCTACATCTGTACGGGTAATATCACGCAGTGGGCGAAGTGCGAGTACCAGACCACGGATGCGCCCAAACGTAAGCCATTCAAAGTGCCCAAAGGGTTGCCCGAAGAGTACCCGTTCCTCCAGAAGTATAAATACGAGGCGAGAGATCGTGTCTACGATCCGGTGCTCTCGGAAGCCGTCAAACAGCCAAAGCCGTCCACTTCTGGTGCGTTCAGTGATGGCGCGCTCCCCAAGAAGGAGGAGGCAAACGGAGCTCCCGTTCCCCCTCTGAATGGGTATAATATAGGATTGGTTGGAAGGGGTGTGAAGAAAACGATACTCAAGCCGCGGCTCAAGAAGTTGGGCGCGACTCCCGTGGACCGCATCGACAGAACCACTCTCTGTATTATCTCAACGAAAGCCGAAGTCGACAAACAAAGCGCGCAAATAGTTGAGGCCAAAGAGCTACTGATCCCTATTGTCAGCGAAGAGTGTCTTAAGGCGGTGGAGGACCTGTCGGATCCGATTCAAGCGATTAGTCTGAACCGTTTGGACGACTTTGAGGTCGACGTCGAGAAGAGGTTTTCCAATCTGAATGTGAAGGAGAAGATGAAGACGGCCTTCAAGTCTGGCGCCGGATCTGGTAATCAGTTATCTATTATTTATCTCTATTGTTGTCTATCACTTGTAACTGATCCGGGAGTGGATGCCTCGCCATAATGTTAGTACAATTTTGTGGTCACAAAACCTCCCAATAATACCCGACAGACACCCGATCGCGACGACTATCACTGGATTGATAATCCATACGATTAACGCCGCGATCGCTTAAGGGTGTCATGTCTTTCCTTCTGATGAGCTCAACCTAAAAGTCGAGAGTTGAGTACAGATACGAGGAATACATTCCATTAATGCAGACAAATGTCTCTAACTTCTGAAGACCTAAAACACTGTATTCGCTGAACAAACGAATTGATGATAATTTGTGTCCACTTTTAGGTCGATTCGAGAAGAGTGTCGGCAAACAGAAGTTTGTCTTAAAGGACGGCAATGTCGTGGATCCGGAGTGCGAGGTGGCGGACGTGACCCACATCTACAAACAGGGGACAGACGTGTATAGTGTGGTGCTGTCCCAAGTGGACCTGAGCCGCAATAAGAACTCATTCTATAAGCTGCAGCTCCTGGAGCACGACACCATGAAAACCAAGTTTTTCGTGTTCAGGTCGTGGGGTCGAGTGGGCACTACCATCGGCGGTACCACTCTTGAGAAGTTCAAGACAGTGTCGGACGCCATCGACTTCTTTACGGATAATTATCTGGAAAAGACGGGCAATGAGTGGACTCTACGCCATAAGTTCAAGAAACAACCGAATCTATACTTCCCGGTGGACATCGACTTCGGTGGCGAACAGAGCGAACAAATGGCTAAACTGGAGGTCGGGAAGCGGTCGAAACTGCCGCTCTCTGTCCAGGACTTCATTTGCTCCATATTTGACGTCCAGAAGATGAAGGAACAGATGCTTGAGTTCGAGTTGGACTTAGAGAAGATGCCATTAGGGAAGCTCTCGAAGAAGCAACTGTTGAGCGCCTGCTCTGTGCTCAAGGAGTTGTCTCAACTCATTGACTCTAAACCGCCGAATATGACAAAAGTGAAGTCAGCGACCAATCGGTTCTTTACGCTCATTCCGCACAACTTCGGCACCGATAGACCGCCGGTCATAGACAGCGAGGACATGATTAAGACGAAGATGGATATGTTGGACGCGCTGCTCGATATTGAGATGGCCTACGATATGATCACCAGCGGTGGTGAGGCCGTGGAGGGCGAGGACCCCATCGATCAGCACTACAAGAAACTGAACACTACTATCGAGCCGTTGACGAAGGATGAGGAGGAATACGAGATCATTGAGAAGTACCTGAAGAACACTCACGGATCCACCCATTACTTCAGTCTGGATATCGTCGACGTCTTTAAGGTCGAACGCCAGGGAGAGTC